ACTGTACACCAATCTAAATGCCTCCTTATTTAGGTTCCTTAATTATCCTCTAACTTTTGCTAATGTAGAGAATGGTGCTGATGTTATCCTATTTATATGAGCCTCCGGAGTTAGGTTTGACGTTATGTCCACTCCCAGGTTTTGTTATCGAATCGTTATAGGGAGATGGTTTTCCGTCATTGTATACTGTCCCTTTGGTCTCCTGGTCCCATTTCCATCACTTTACACTTGCAGGTGTTATATATACAGTGTCAGCTGGTTCTGTGTTCGTGTTATATTTACATTATGAGATGGCGCTGAGAAAAGTAACTGTGTCACATCTCGGTCATTGTCAACTCTGAACACTGCAGGCACACGTAGGTGAGTACTCACACAGCCTGCACACGTATGCGAAAGATGACGAAAAGTATACACCAAAAATGGGTGAGAAGTGATAGTAAGGAAGGTCATTTGAAGGTAAAGCGTTCGTCGCTCCTGTCCTTCGCTCTCGGTCAGTCTTCCCCCTCTCTCTCTCACACTCTCACACTCTCTCGCACTCTCACACTCTCTCACACTCTCACACACAATCACTCACAAACCGCAAGCACAACTAGGTGAGTGCGAACACAACGCCACACAATCTAACGCGGTAAACACAACACGAACACAGCGCCACACCATCTGAAGCTGTAAACACAACACGAACACAGCGCCACACCATCTGAAGCTGTAAACACAACACGAACACAGCGCCACACCATCTGAAGCTGTAAACACAACACGAACACAGCGCCACACCATCTGAAGCTGTAAACATAACACGAACACAGCGGCTGTAAGCACCGCTGACAAACAGCAGTCAGTATCACTAATATTTTATATGAAAAGAAGTTTGTACCGGATTGGCGAGTGTCAGGTGTAGGGGAGTTATTACCTAGACAGTGTTACCAGACTGAAGGAGTAATTACCTGGACAGTGTAACCAGTTGTTATGTTGGGCAAGCATACATACAGCTGGTGATTGGCGTTGGGTGTGGACTTGGGTGGAGGGCGGGTGCCGGTGAATGGTCGGAGGGAGCGTTGCCTAATTAAGGTGTTTGGTCAGGGTCTGGATAATGACTGGTACTTAATACGAGCTCAGTTTGGGAGATGTTCCCCTTAAATAATAAAGATGTTTAAGGTGTATTACTGATGCTGGAATATTTTAATATGTTATCAGACCTTGCAGTTTGAGCAGTTGCGTTGCCTGACTATGCCTTACAGTTATGATAATTTACATTATATAGTCATTTAAATTCCATTACAGCTAAGATGTTTACCTTAAGCCTTGGTCTGGAGCCTTGTACTTGTACCTCCGGGCTCAACACAAAAGGGTTTGTTTGCAGCATTTCTAAACCAAATTTACATTCGAGAGAAGTGGTCGCATTCATTCACATTCTCACCTGTATTGGGTAGGGTTCCGCAGCCCCCGGCTTCCTAGACTGTGGCTCACGGCCACCTGAACAATGTCTGTAATCTTGCGCCAACATCTGTAACACGGTCGATTACTGTTGTGTTATGCAGCTGAATACGGTCGATTACTGTTGTGTTATGTAGCTTAATACGGTCGATTACTGTTGTGTTATGCAGCTGAATACGGTCGATTACTGTTGTGTTATGCAGCTGAATACGGTCGATTACTGTTGTGTTATGCAGCTGAATACGGTCGATTACTGTTGTGTTATGCAGCTGAATACGGTCGATTACTGTTGTGTTATGCAGCTGAATACGGTCGATTACTGTTGTGTTATGCAGCTGAATACGGTCGATTACTGTTGTGTTATGCAGCTGAATACGGTCGATTACTGTTGTGTTATGCAGCTGAATACGGTCGATTACTGTTGTGTTATGCAGCTGAATACTGTCGATTACTGTTGTGTTATGCAGCTGAATACGGTCGATTACTGTTGTGTTATGCAGCTGAATACGGTCGATTACTGTTGTGTTATGCAGCTGAATACGGTCGATTACTGTTGTGTTATGCAGCTGAATACGGTCGATTACTGTTGTGTTATGCAGCTGAATACGGTCGATTACTGTTGTGTTATGCAGCTGAATACAGTCAATTACTGTTGTCTTATGCAGCGGAACATACCAAATATTGTAGTTCAATTTGAATGTATGTTCGCGTGTGTTTGCGTGTCTGTGCTTGCAGCAGCTCCCACTTGGAACACAGCGGTGTTGTTGTGTTCCCATGGTGGTGTTGGCACCAGGGCGGGAAGTATTGCGAGCTCTGAGGATTGTTGAGTCGATCATGTGAAGCACCATCAATGAATAGGAGACAGACTAAGAGCGTTGCTAGTTAGCATTGTACAAGCACTTCAGTCACCTTCTCACCTCCTGTGGTTGAGTGTTCAGCTACCCAATACTCCACATGTTGTCTAACAGATCTCTAACACTGTCCATGGAGGACTGTATAACTGTATAAATGCATACACGCTCCTTATAACAAGTGTAGCATGTTGTATCAGCGTGCAGGTGTAGCATGTTGTATCAGCGTGCTGGTGTAGCATGTTGTATCAGCGTGCAGGTGTAGCATGTTGTATCAACGTGCAGGTGTAGCATATTGTATCAGCGTGCAGGTGTAGCATGTTGTATCAACGTGCAGGTGTAGCATATTGTATCAGCGTGCAGGTGTAGCATGTTGGTTTTGCGTGCAGGTGTAAGATGCAGGTTTTGCGTGCAGGTTTTGCGTGCAGGTGTAAGATGCAGGTTTTGCGTGCAGGTGTAAGATGCAGGTTTTGCGTGCAGGTGTAAGATGCAGGTTTTCCGTGCAGGTGTAAGATGCAGGTTTTGCGTCCAGGTGTAAGATGCAGGTTTTCCGTGCAGGTGTAACATTCAGATTTTGCGTGTAAGTGTAACACGCAGGTTTTGCGTGCTGGAGTAACTTCTTGGTTTAGCATGGAGGTATAGCATGTTGGTTTAGCGTGCAGGTGTAACAACATGCTGGTGAGGCTGATGGACGGCGTGTAGCTACAACTGTGATTACACTCGCAAATGTAACGCTTTCTGTGATGTTCAAATCAAATCAAATCAAATGTTTATTTAGGTAAGGTACATACATACAAGAGATTTTACAAAGAGTGATGGATTTATAGATAGGGCTAGTACATACAATGCCTAAAGCCACTATTACGCAAAGCGTTTCGGGCATGTTGTGTTTGTTGTTTTTAATAGAGCCCGTCCTCAGAGTAAAGTGATTACCTCGAGACTACAAACCCATTCTAACACCAACTGGATAGTTAGCCAGTTATTTGTGATGGTCTTAAAGTACACTATGGGTTCAATAATAGTTTCCTTGTAAACTGGCAAGAGAATCTTTGTCCTAAACAGAGAATATTCTCGAGTTATAATTTTATTGTCATATAAATCGTTGGTTTAAAATATGAAAAGGCTATGCTTAACTCGTTTTCTTTGAAACTGTCTGAATAATTTGGTTTTCTGTAAAAGGAAATCTAGGGGGATACTCAAATAGTTTTCGAATGTCATATTTCACATGTTTGTGAATAATACACCATACTAATGTATATTTAAGTGATAAATTTTAAGTAATAATTTAAGTAATGATTTATGTAATAAATTTAAGTAATGATTTATGTAATAAATTTTAGTAATGATTTATGTAATAAATTTAAGTAATAAATTTAATAAGTAATAAAACATAACCATGACTAGGGAGTAGATAACAACACTAATTATGTAATGGTTTTGTAGTGATTAATACAACCTCTTCGTCCCTGAGGACAGGTTGTGATAAAAATATAACTTGTCCTCGGAGGGGGGTGCTATCCTCGTGGTTATCACTTCAAAACCACTATGTAATTAGTGCTATTATCTCTTCCCTGTCCATGGTTAGGTAAGTTTAGGGACTGTTTTATTCTCCATCATGTGAAATTATTCAGTCTCCGTGGTGTAGTGGTAAGACACTCGCCTGGCGTTCCGCGAGCGCTATGTCATGGGTTCGTATCCTGGCCGGGGAGGATTTACTGGGCGCAAATCCTTAACTGTAGCCTCTGTTTAACTCAACAGTAAAATGTGTACTTGGTTGTAACAACGATTCTTCGCGGGGGGGATCGTATTCCAGGGACCTGCCCGAAACGCTACGCGTACTACTGGCTGTACAAGAATGTAACAACTCTTGTATAGATATAAAACACCAGAAATAAATATCTCTTTGATATCCCCAGGGTCAAACTTAATCTGTGTAAACACTCTATGCAAATTAAGGGACCTAGTCTATGGAACTCACTCCCTAGTGAATTGAAAAACTTTAAAACTTTTGCCTTATTTAAAAGCAAAACCAAAAAGTACCTAATTTCATCTTCTTAGTTTCCTACACTGAGCTTTAAATTTGCTCTGTACCTAGTGTTACCCAATCTCCTAATTTTTATGTAGTATCAAACAACCTTATCATTGTGTTCATTGCTGTCTTCTTTTATGTGCTAGCCATATGCTGTATTGTGACTGTTCAGTCCCTGAGCCCATTATGTGCCTCTGTAACCCTTTCCACTACCGCCCACAAGATGGGTATGGGGTGCATAATAAATGAAGTAAACTAAAAACTCTAAAAAAAATATATGAAAATCAAAATCTACATGAGTATTCCATAGAATTTGTCATTAGAGAAAACTTCTGCCGCAGGACTTATCAAAGAAAATGAGTTTACCATAGACTCTGTTTTTAAATCTAGAGTTTAAATTACAAACGGTACAGTGATAACTTGAGAGAATATTCTCTGTTTTGGACAAAGCTTCACTTGCTTGTTTACAAGTAAACTATTATTGGAACTGTAATATGCTCTCAGACCATCGCAGATATCTGGAGAACTATCCAGGGGCTTTCAGAGGGAGGTTGATGACTTGATATAATTACTTTACCCGGAGAACGTGCTGTAATAATAATGATTATCATTATCATTTTACTATCATATATTATTATATAATTATTACATAATTTATAATTATTATACTTACTTCTCTGCAGATGGCGACGGTATAATCATTTGGAACAAGAGAAACTACACAACTACTGTTCCACTAGAGGTAAGTGTGTGTTCTAACCTCTATGTTAATTGAACTGCTTCATTGTCAGGCAACATTCAAGGACTCTATCACAGATGCAAGACCACATTCATCAACTCCACACTGCCTCATCCACACCACCCACCACATCACCCACACCACCCACCGCATCACCCACACCATCTGTATCACTCTGTTCCCCCACCCACACCAACCAATACTGCACAACAACACCACTCCACCATCCACACACCACAACAGAGCACTTTGACCCACCTGTTATTTATTAACTAAAACACACAAACGCACACTGTGTGTGTGTGTGTGTGTGTGTGTGTGTGTGTGTATGTGTGTATGTGTGGAAAAAAATAGTAGTAGTAGAAACAGTTGATTGACAGTTGAGAGGCGGGCCGAAAGAGCAGAGCTCAACTCCCGCAAGCACAACTAGGTGAATACACACACACACATGGGGGCCTGATAGTTGTATGAACAGCGCTTTGGACTCGTAATCCTAGGGTCATCGAACCCGGCTGATGGCAGAAACAACGGGCAGAGAACAAATCCACAAGGGCAAGGGTTCGAACTTACGCCCGGGATGATTCCAGACGCTGCCTTAGTCGACTAGGCCACGACAGACTAGGCCATACAGACCTGAGTGTGTATGTATATGGCTAGACCTGAGTGTGTGTATGGCCAGACCTGAGTGTGTGTATGGCCAGACCTGAGTGTGTGTATGGCCAGACCTGAGTGTGTGTGTATGGCCAGACCTGAGTGTGTGTGTATGGCCAGACCTGAGTGTGTGTGTATGGCCAGACCTGAGTGTGTGTGTATGGCCAGACCTGAGTGTGTGTGTATGGCCAGACCTGAGTGTGTGTGTATGGCCAGACCTGAGTGTGTGTGTATGGCCAGACCTGAGTGTGTGTGTATATGGCTAGACCTGAGTGTGTGTGTGTATGGCCAGACCTGAGTGTGTGTGTGTATATGGCTAGACCTGAGTGTGTGTGTGTATGACTAGACCTGAGTGTGTGTGTATGGCCAGACCTGAGTGTGTGTGTATGGCTAGACCTGAGTGTGTGTACGGCCAGACCTGAGTGTGTGTGTTTACTAGTTGTGTTTTTACGGGGGTTGAGCTTTGCTCTTTCGGCCCGCCTCTCAACTGTCAATCAACTGTTTACTACTTCTTTTTTTTTCCACACACACACACACCCCAGGAAGCAGCCCGTGACAGCTGACTAACTCCCAGGTACCTATTTACTGCTAGGTAACAGGGGCATTCAGGGTGAAAGAAACTTTGCCCATTTGTTTCTGCCTCGTGCGGGAATCGAACCCGCGCCACAGAATTACGAATCCTGCGCGCTATCCACCAGGCTACGATCCCCTGATCCACCAGGCTACGATCTCCTGTGTGTATGGCCAGACCTGAGTGTGTGTGTATGGCTAGACCTGAGTGTGTGTGTGTGTGTATGGCCAGACCTGAGTGTGTGTGTATGGCCAGACCTGAGTGTGTGTGTGTGTGTATGGCTAGACCTGAGTGTGTGTGTGTATGGCCAGACCTGAGTATGTGTGTATAGCTAGACCTGAGTGTGTGTGTGGCCAGACCTGAGTGTGTGTGTATGGCAAGACCTGAGTGTGTGTATGACTAGACCTGAGTGTGCGTATGACTAGACCTGAGTGTGTGAGGCGACTGTTGATTAAGGCAGCAGGTATGCGTAGGTCAGAACAGCGGCAGAAATAACTGTAAACTGTTGAAGTGTCACGACTTGGAGACTGAGGCGAAGCTTCCGTTAGCCAGTGTTGTCTGCCGGATTGTCTCCCTGTTTTAACCTGTCCTCCGCTGCCAGTACAAAGTCCAGTGTCGCTGTTTGTTTACTGCCTTTAAAAGAGTTTCCTATACATTAATATTCATAAGTTAAATATCTACCTCGAGTGTTAGATTAATGCGCACGATGTGTGTATATTTGCTAAGTGCTTGGCGTTCAAGTAGCGACTCACTGTCTTTGGTAAAAGATATTGACGAATAACATTTGACAATTTATATATTGTTCGGTTTTGGCAATCAGTCACTCGCATCGTCACATCTTGCTGGCGTCAAATAGCGACACGTATAGTTCACAGGTTTTGAAGCGTTTTTCCATCAGAAGGGGGCGTTAATGACCAAGTATTCAACGTTCTTTTAACACTAACCACTAACGACTCGCAGCACCAGTGGTATAAGCGGGCCATGCTTATAGGCTGTTACAGCGGACACTGTCAAGACTGTCCAGGGTCCCTTAGGGCGCCCGGGGAGCTGGGTTAGAAAATAAGGAAATAGCCACAATGTAGGACTCAGAATAGGAGATGCTTTTTCACCCACAGGGTTATTAACCCATAGAACCGCCTACCCACCAAAGCCGTAACTGTGTTGAGTTTTAAAATATACCTAGAAAAGATCATCAAAGCAAATGGGGGGGGGACCTTCGAGAAGCCGCAGGCTTCCTGTCCTCGCCGAGGCCACTTGGGTTAGTGGACCTCAGGTAAATCAAGTAAATCAGGTAAATACTTCAACAATTAGGCTAGGCTACCGTACGCTCTCTCCCACTGCCCTCTTCCTCCACAAGGAAAAGATATCATACCTTTTAAGGGGAAAAAGTTACACTGGCAGTTTTTGTCATAGGAGTTAGCTTCTTTTGGCAACTGATTATTGCAAAATTATATATATAATATTCTACATGTGCAACAATAAATCTTTAACATTAATAATGAAGGAAGAGAGAGGCGCGTCCTCGTGAGCTGAGCCACCGAGGAAGGGTAATAATGGTGGGACTAGACGCATTAGTGTTACTCTCCCACGGACATTAGAAATTGTAAAATTCATATTATTAACAAAGTATCCTCTTTATAATACGGTAAGGCACTCCCTTAGTAGAGCTCCCAGCGAGCTGAGGGCCTCGAGGGTGCCAAGAGAGCGCTCAGTCAGAGAGGCGGCGCGTTTTGTTTCTCTAGGCTTTTTGTTTTATTCCAGTGGCCAAAAATAATGTTATATTGTTAACAGGAAACAATATAATTCTGTGCAGTCAGGAATCACTGAACGTGGCAGTGCTGAAAATATGTGAACACACGTGCATCTACATCTATAAGAGAGAGAATGTCTCTTTCTGTACGTGTGTCCATGGAGGCCAGATGCTTGGGGCTAGCCTCACTCAACTTTGCAGGGGAAATGGTATGGTGTATGGGACAAGCACAACTGGTTAGGGTCGCCAGAATTCAAGAGGGAACAGCATCCAGTCATATTGTGTCCCCCTTACACCATTACATATTATTATTCACCGATCTCGGAAAAATTAAATACATTTCTGCTATTGCTACTTTGGCTGTAGTAGTAGTATAAAACAGAATACATGTACAGTTTCAAAGGCTTTCTCAAGTCCTGCTCCTTTCTCGAAGCAAACCGGGTAACAAATATATTTGTTAATATTTCGCACCGCTAGGCTCCTCCTAGGCTGACCACCCACACGACAGTGGTAGACTATTATATTATTTTTATAAGAGACATGCAGAGGCAGACATACACAGGCAGACATACAGGCAGATACAGAAACAGGCAAAGAGATCCGGTCCTGCACAGAGACCGGATCGACCAGGGAAGAGAGACATGAAGACAAACAGAAAAATAGAAACACACAGAAAACAGACACACAGCTAACAGCACACATAGAGAAAAACAGACAAATGGAAACAGAGAAAGAGACGCAAGGAGAAGGGGAGGGGAAAGAGGAAGAACGTGTAAAGAGAGGGAAGGAGAAGGGGGTGGGAAGGGGGGAACGTGTAAAGAGAGGGAGGGAGAGGGAACGTGTAAAGAGAGGGAGGGAGAAGGGGGTGGGAAGGGGGAACGTGTAAAGAGAGGGAGGGAGAGGGAACGTGTAAAGAGAGGGAGGGAGAAGGGGGTGGGAAGGGGGGAACGTATAAAGAGAGGGAAGGAGAAGGGAGGAAGGGAGAGGGACCGTATAAAGAGAGGGAAGAAGAAGAAGAAGAAGAAGGGGCAATATCTGTTAATCACGTAGCAAAAGCATAACATTTCCACTTCACTAATTCGTGTGACAAATTAAAAGCGAGACGAGAAACCTGCCATTGTGAGCCCGGGGCGCACGTCATAACCCAGCATTACATACTTCCAGTATTGGCCAACAGTATTGTTCCGCAACATGAAAGTTGGCCTTTCCTTTAGTTATTGAAGTTACATATTTCTTTTTATATTCTGAGAGGTGTACATGTAATAGATCCAGCCTACTGCGACCAGCTGGTGCAATAGATCCAGCTTACTGTGACCAGCTGGCACAATAGATCCAGCTTACTGTGACCAGCTGGTGCAATAGATCCAGCTTACTGCGACCTGCTGGTGCAATAGATGCAGCCTACTGCGACCAGCTGGTGCAATAGATCCAGCCTACTGTGACCAGCTGGTACAATAAATCTGTTACAACCACATAAATCCTCACTGGTTCTCCTTTTTCCTCTCCCTTCTTGCTGCCTTCTCTCCTATTCTCGCCTTCCCTCAGTTTCGGGTGACAACAGGCAGGATGTAGAGCCATATATAGCTTAAACAAAGGTCAAGTTGTACAGTGAGTCTTGTCACTCGAGATGGCCTTCCCCGTCTGGCGTGGTGCAAGAGTCACTAGCTGGGCCAGCTGTTATTACTGGGCAGCTGAGGGGCCATCCTCGGGACTGGCCTGTCCCTGGCCTGTCCCTGGCCTCCAGCCTCGTCTGCTGGCCCCCTTTGGCCTCGCTTTGGGAAGTACCACCTGGAAACGTTCCTCTCGGTTGTTTGGTTAAGATCCTTGGCTAATTATGACTATCTACCATGTAGCAACAGACATCAGTGTTCCCATCAGAATGTTGGGTTTTCGTTGGGCCACGCCCACCTGTAGGCCTAGAGGTTCTTTGGCCTCTGGTGAATGGTCTCTTAATGCCCTCATGCGGGTCTTGGTGCCCATTGGCGGAGTTTCATAGTAGATCTAAGTGTGAGGAACTTAGGATAGTGTGGG